TTTAAGATTTTATTAAAAAAATTAAAATTTTAAAAAAGTTTGCAGGCAAATTTGCCTGCAATACAAATTAAGGGATAGGGTTGTTGACATATATTGCAAATAATATTCGTATTATTTGCATTCCATGAAAAATAGCTCCAAACTGGATGACATGGTCTGCTCTTTTTTACCGGTCTTGTGGATTCAGATTCATTGTCAGTATCATTATTAGAGCTTATCAATTCTTGAACGTTCATTATGATTTATTAGATCAATGATTGTATAGATGCAATTATTTTATGGATAATAATGTAATCGCGAGGATTTATCAAATTTTTAAGTAAGTATTTATACATTATATACAGATACAAAACTTCTGTCATAATTATACAATGTTATATTAGTAATTTTACATATTTAATTTATTGGAAATTAACTGAATGATTCATTACAATTATTATCGCTATATGACCAAAATTTAATATAGCAAAATAATTCGCTAATTATGACATTATTCCCGTGATGAAACCTAGATAGTTATATCACGTGCCTTATTTAATAAACGAACTAGTTCCGCCGGTTCAAACTAGACCATAACGGTTTGAGTTTTGAACTCAGTCAAACTAGTTCAGACTAAACAACTTAACATCCCTATGCTTTAGTGTATATAAAAAAATTATCTACTATAGGTAATTTATTGTATACTACTAATAGATTATTTTAGAGAACTCAAAAGCATGATCGAATTAATTTGATAGCCTTTTCCCTATAAAAAAAAGCTTGTACAGTTATCGTAGGCATTGTCCAAATAAATGTTCGAAACGGAATTGATTTTTCCGATCAGGGTTTATGTACTGTTTTCATAACGATGTTTGTACGGAATAGAAATTTTTGATTGAAAATTACCGTATAAAAAAACGTTTAAAAAACGCATTCATCCAATAAACATCCTTTAAATGTTCGAAACGGAGTCGATTTTCCGAACAAAAAAGATTTTTTTTTATGGGTTTTCTTTATAAAAATCCCAACTCACACTTCTGTACTACACGTGATACATATATATACAATAAAATATATCGAATATTGGAAATTTTTTACTTTATCGTTATTACAAAATATACAAAAAAGACATTATTCAGCATATCTTTAATTCAAAAGTTACCATGGATGAAAAAAATCAATTTGGAAAATTTCTGAAATACGCAGAAGATGCCAATTCTGATGCACAATATAATGCTATTGGATTCAGCTATAAAAATGGCATAGGCACAGACAAGGATGAAAAAAAGGCATTCAAATGGTATTTGAAATCTGCTGAAGGTGGTGATTCGAAGGGCCAATGTAATGTTGGAGACTGCTACAGAAAAGGCATAGGTACAGACAAGAATGAAAAAAAGGCATTTGAATGGTATTTGAAATCTGCTGAAGGTGGTGATTCGAATGGACAATTTAATGTTGGAAACTGCTACAGAAATGGCATAGGCACAGAAAAGGATGAAAAAAAGCATTTGTGTGGTATTTGAAATCTGCTGAAGGTGGTAATTCGAATGGTCAATTTAATGTTGGAGTTTGCTACGAAAATGGCACAGGCACAGACAATGATGAAAAAAAGGCATTTGAATGGTATTTAAAATCTGCTGAAGGTAGTGATTCGGATGGTCAATATAATCTCGCGGTGTATTATGAAGATGGCGTAGGCACAGACAAGGATGAAAAAAGGCATCTGAGTAGTATTTGAAATCTGCTGAAGGTGGCAATTCGGATGGTCAATGTAATGTTGGATTCTGTTACTATAATGGCATAGGCATAGACAAGGATGAAAAAAAGGCATTTGAGTGGTGTTTGAAATCTGCTGAAGGTGACAATTCGATTGATCAATATAATCTCGCGGTGTATTATGAAGAAGTAGCTAAGGATGAAAAAAAGGCGTTTGAGTGGTATTTAAGATCAGCGGAACAAAATAGGATTATGTTATTGAAATGGTTATGGATCATCGCCTAATCTGTTGAATGGCTGCAAAAATCGAAAAGCGATAATTTTCAAAAGACATTTAGTTCTGAAAATCTTGATGATTCATTGGAAAAACTATTATCTGGTAATAATTTATTAATTTCATGGATTCATTTAATGAATTAGAATTTGTTAAAAAAATAGGAAAAGGTGGATTTGCAACGGTTTATGCTGCCGCAGAAACCCGAATTGTATTTTAACACAAAGGGTTGCAATTAAATTATTTCATGGATTAAAAAATAGTTACGAGGAACTTATAAAAGAGGTAAACATTTGATATGTTAAAGTTTTATTTATTTAGTTATTACTATTCATTGATATATATATATTTAATTTTAAAGTTAATTGCATATTCAAATATTGGAACTAAAAATCCTACATTTTTACAATGCCATGGAATATTAAAAGATGAAGGTACATATGATTATTTTTTAGTTAATGCAATATGCAGAAATGGGATCTCTACGTGAAAATCTTTACGAAGAAAAAATTAGAATTATTATCTTATATCGCATTCGATCTTAAATTAATTCATTCGAATAACATTATTCACTGTGATTTACATAGTGGAAATATATTTACATAATGCTTATATTGGTGATTTAGGATTTACAACATCGATTAATAAAACATTAGACAGAGAATCGAGAGGAATTTATGGAGCTTTACCGTATATAGCACCAGAAGTTTTGCAAGGGAAACCATTTACTAAAGCATCAGATATTTATTCTTTTGGAATGATTATGTGGGAGATTTCTTCAGGAAACATTGTATTTTCCGACTATAAGGGTGATTGCTTAGCTATAGAAACTTGTTTTAACGGATTAAGACCAACTATTATTAAAGGTACAGCATCATGTATGTAAATCTTTTGAAGAAGTGTTGGGATAAAGATCCAGAAAAACGACCATCAGCTATGGAAATTCATGAAATTATTTCAAAATGGAAAAATAATACCGATATTTTAACTGAATTTTTAAAATCTGATAAAGAAATGGTGATCAAAAATAATGACTTTATAATTTATGTAAAGAGGTTTTGTGATAAAATTCCAGTAAACCGATCGGAAAATCATAAAATTCTTTCAGAAGATGAATTTTTAAAATCTGATAAAGAAATGGAGATTGAAAATAGTGACTTTATCAATGTAGAGGATAGTACAATTGATACAAAACTTCTAAAGGGGTGTTGGGATAAAAAGATCGTCAGCTATGAATATTCATGATATTTTGACTGAATTAAAATTTGATAAAATAGTGATCAAAAATAATGACTTTAACGATATAGAAGATAGTACAATTTATACTAGCAAAGTCATTAGCTATATTAACCAACAGCCACTTTAACACGTAACAGCAAATGAAATTATCTCTAATAATAATATTTCTATTGAAGATATTAGGAAAGTGTAAGGAAGTTCTGTGATATTAATGTATTTGAATAAAGGTTATTCAAATACCTCAGATTTATGGCCAGCATTTAATTGATCTACATTAGTTGGCCTAAATTATACTTTAATTCTTACCCTAACTTAGGCCGATCAACATCTGATGCAAGAAGCACAACACATACTGTATTAAATCATAATGACAGCCTGCATTATAAGTTACTTTCTACGTTCTTTACAACTTCATCAGGTTATTGCCTGCATAATAATTCACGATCCAATCGAATTTATAATTTAACTAAAAAATATAATTATGAAAACGGTTTGTTTATTAAAGAATAAATACAGTATAATAGTATTAAGTTTATTACTTTGTTAGATTCATATTTATCTATATGACATATTAATGGCGCTATAATTACATTTAAATATTAAATACGCTTATACTAACACAGTATTTGATAATTTTTGAAAAAATCTTTAACTTAAACATTATAATCTCATAATTGAAAACTACTATACTCAAATCTGGTAATAAATAATAATTTATAAATTGTCCTAAAATTATATATCCCTCCAAAAAAAAAATTGAACCAAATTATTTAAACCTTCAGTTTTTTCAAAGGGTGAACCTATATACAAATTTACACGAATATATTACCGTTATATTATACAATAGTCCTATGATGTTCCATCAAGCACCTTTCAATTTCAACATTTAATGCCCAAACCCATTCTTCTCTTTCACTCCTATTCCTAGCTCGAAATACCCAAACTTTACCAGTAGAATCTAACTTTGCCTTTTTTCGAAATTCTACACCAATAACCCCAGATCTTTCGATTACATGATGTTTATTACCTTGCCAAATAACAAATGTACACTCATCCTTTTCATCAAAACAATACATTCCATCACTGTATATTCTGGGAAAATTGTGCATCTCATTGCCCACGCGATATGGAGTGCTAGAATAGGACAAATCATGATCGGTTATATGACCCGAGTATACATAACAATCTAATAGATTGATAATGCCTTTCCGCCTATGATAACTTCGGTGAGCTTTTCTTCCAATTATCGACCAAGAATAAAGCCGATAAAATATTAGGTAACCTCTTGTTAAAACATGATAATAATTATTAAAATTTCCATAGTAATGAACTTTTTGATATAGTAATCCAGATTTCTATAAAGAATTTTAAATTATAAGAATATTACATAAAATTACTTTTTTTTTTTTAGAATAGAATTTAATAAATAACGTACCGTAATACCTCGACATCCATTTAAAATACACCAATGCCAAATTGTAGGACTTGCATATGATCGAAAATTATCCCAATTTCCATGAAAACCATCACCTATAAATGCGCTATCATCATCATAATCATTAAACTGATTTATTTTAAACATACTAATTCGAATTTTTACGTCATCAGCAAGGCGAGCTTTCCAGTATTTGGCAAGCTCATTGAGACTTTTTACCCATTGTTTTTTTGTTGTTTTAGAATATGCCTACAACAATTATGAAATAATGAAAGATGTTAAAAATTTATACATAAATCGTGAACTGGTGGAAGAAGAGTTAAAGATTTATCATTCAAATGGACAACCTCTAAAACAATAGTCATTCCATTCATCATGACCACTTCAAAAGGACATCCTTTTTTTTCGAGTTCACGCTCTTGAGATTGATCTTCTATATGATCAATTTCACAACCATTCTCATTATTATCGTCCATTAATGATCTTACTTCTTTAATATCAATCAAATTAATGAATCCATATGAATTTATAATTTGCTTAACACGCCTTTTACTATCCGCCTTAATAAAAGCAGCGGCGTGTTCTGGTACTTGAACATGTGGGGAAACAGCATATATTAATGGCCGTTTGCAATTAGTTTTGTCGGTTTTCGGTGTTCCAGACTCAGAATCAGATATAGGTGACGAAGATGTTGATGGTGGAGGTGGAGGGCTCGCAACGAACGGTTTCATAAAAAATAAATAATAATCATGTGACGAAAAATATAGTCGTTTTGATCTGTTTTTACGACCTTTTTCGTTTGTAACTCTAATGAGGTATCCTTCAACTGACGGTGGTTCCTAAGCCACAAATAATTTACAAAAATTAATTATTGATAGTTGCTAAATAAATAAATTGCAGTAAGATTAAATAACGAAAATATGTGTATACCTGTAACTTTGTTTCATCAGGTAACGTTACGGACGTTGGATAATGTTCTGTGCACCGCAATTGTAGTTGATGGGTCTAATAAAATGTATATGAAAAGGGTAATATATGTAAAAATACGTAAAAATAAACAAAATTCAATAAAAATAAAATAATAAAATCATACCCCTTCAATGAATTGAGGACACGCTAATAAATCACACCTATCATTTTCATCTTCATTTGTTTCCCAAACAATCCACTCTATCCGATCATATCTTTTCCAACATAATCTCATATCACAATTTTGTAACCATTCATTCAATACATCTTCCCATTCGTTTATACCACTTAATTCATCCAAAACAATTTTAGTTATTTCTTCAGCAGTGATTATAAATGCTTGCCTTCCATTTTCTAATGGAATTTGTACTCGAACATCCAGATCAGGTACAACTATCTCACAAACAGAAGGAACTGGTTTCACGGACGGTTCCTTAAGCAAATGATACAAAGCGCGATACCATCCAACACTTTGGGTATAAGTTTTTGGTCGAAATATAAATACTTTCATTCCATAATCACTTGGAGTAGATAAAGCTATTGTATAATCAACTGGTGAATAGAGAGATAATCGAGTTGAAGAAGAAAAAACAATTGTATCAACAGGTTTCTTCTGAAAAAATTAAAGAGATTAAAAATACGAATTTTGATTTTAGTAAATTTTCAGAAACTTTGAAATAAAAAGTTTTATTTATTGTAGGACTTGCCCTATTCTTATAAAATTCTATTTTATCGGATTTTAACTTCACAAGGTACTCTCTCCATCCTACGGAATGAGTAAGATATTTCCTTGAAGTGGAATAATTATACATTCTTGGAATACCTGAATGATATACACGCTCGACCCTAATCAATATACAATCTTCCTTGATGACAGATCCTGCTACATAAACGGGATTATTAAAAGACTCAGCATCTAAATTAGCATTGTTTATATCAGAATTCGGATCATTAATAATAATTTCATCATGATCAATAGGAGAATCTGATAAATTTATTGATGATATTGAAGCATCATCATGTTGATTGTCATTCACTTCAAGAGAAGAGTTAATAATAGTTGGTTGTAAATGTAATTGTAATGTCCGAGATTCATATTCTTTTGAACTAAACAAACGAGGATTGTGTGGTGGTGTAACAGGAAATGTTTTTACATCCTCGGATGGAGTATAAAAGACCTCTCTACTAATTGATGTACGATCCATATCTGGACCTAAAATTTCTAACTCTTCTGGTTCTTCAACAAGGAAAGGAGCATCTGTTATCATATTTGGCCTTTCACTGTATTTCAAAATATGTTAAGAGATGACATAAATATAAATATATATATATATATATAATATCAGACAAATAATTCGAAAATAATTATTACCATTGATCATCAGGGATATTATAATCGAGAGCGAGAGAAGAAACATTATTTGGCCCAGTAACATCAGAGGCAGCTCTAAAGGTTTTTCTCCTTCTTGTACCGTGATGTACAGCCTTTTCACTTTTAGAGAACCATATTGACTTTTTTTTATAATTCCAATTTGCTGGAATCGGGCCAATAAAAATTCTTCGAGAAGTCGAATGGAGATGTACTGACATCGATCTTGATAGATTATTTCCCTCCCCACTTAAAGAATGTTGTGGAGCCCATTGATGAAAAAAATCACGATTTTTTATACCGGAATCATCAACATTCACAGGATCTGTTGGCATTATTCAAGGAGGTCGAGCGGATAAGAAGAAAAAAGCTCGAAGAAAGAGGCGGAAATTCTAGAAAAACTAAAATAAAGGAACGTAATGGACTATAAAAATGGATTGTATCTTAATTAACTTAAATTATTAATTAGCAATGAAATCTTTACTAAAACAAGACGTAAATATACATACGTCTATCTGTGTATTTTAAACCTTTTTAACAAAAGTATGATATCAAAAATTCCTTTTATCTACTCTGAAGTAGAAAGTTGTGTAATATAAATTATTGCAAAATTGAGTACAAAGAATGTATCGCTGGCGTACATACGTAACTTCATTTTAATTTTACCTATCGTATCATAATAATTGATAAATTAATTAGGAACTGGCTTATAATACTAAAAATTTTTGGATTGAAAGCACAAATTACGTAAATATTTAAGTCGACTTGAAAAGCAAACATTTTATACTGTATTACTGTATTAGTACTAGCACGTATTTCACATGCATCATCATGCGATCATTATACTTATAAAGTTACTACTCCTTGAATTAATATAGGCCGGAGGCCCTGCCGGTTTTAAAGTAATATAAATTGAATTAATCCTAAGGAGAATTAATTTTTTATTAATTTACATTGACATATTGTGTGAAATTAACGAGTAACGAATGAAAGTAACGAAAGTAACGAAAGTAACGGTAACAGATTACAAGATCGACTCATTTATTTAACCGTTAATTAGCACACTGTTATTCTATATTTAGAAATCATATCGAATAATTTTCTTCCATCAATGATCTTTGACATAAGATATAAAGTGGCTTAACACGCATATTTTTTACTATACAATTATTATACCCAATGAAGTCCCGAAAAGGTACATACATACGTAGTACATAGATCCGATCCGATCCAATCTAATACTAACACAGTTTAAATTTGATATTTATGCAGCATTTTATTATAGAATTCTAAATAGATAGTGGCTTTGGCTTTTAGTACGCGTATTTGAATAAGCCAATGATTTTTCGCCACGCATTTACTGCGTCGACAAAAAACAAGAATCCTGCTAATTCAAGGTATATCCTTTATTTAACAAAAAAAAAAGCCTCTTACAACAAATACCGGCAATAGCTCAGTTGGTAGAGCGGGAGACTGTAGTGAACGCACCGTTCAACGCTGATATCTCTAGGTCGCTAGTTCAAATCTGGCTTGCCGGAGCTTTCTTTTTTGATGTTTGCTGAATTCTTATTTACCCAATTGAATTTTTTTAAAAAAATTTAGTCTTTCCTTGCACGTTGTAGGAGGGAAATGCTTGATGACCAAAAGAACTTAATATCATGTACTATGTGTCAAAGAGAAATAAAATAACCGAGTGATATACTCTTTCTTCTCTGTCTATTCATATTAGCTGGTATCTGTGTATTAAAAAAATTGTACAATGTCGTATGTCAGATTCGGATCGAAGTGATCAGTTTATATCAGATTATCATTTGGGGTGTTACGTATTAAAACAGCCCATTTTTTAAATTTTTTTTATTTGACTTTTGAATTGATATCTATTCGATAAAAAGGTTGCCTTTCACAAATGAACTTGAAGAATTTTATACCGGGTGGGTGAAAAGTCCCTATACAGGACTTTTTTACTATCTCCGCTAAGCAAATATAAAATCTGGGACAGATTACGTCAATCTCCGAATATCGGTATCCGGATTTCAAATACCAAAATATCACTGTATAGAAGTTCGTCTGATTGGCTAATAAATTCAATATAATTTTACATTATTTATACAGTTTAAAGTACTTTTTAGAAAAAATAAAACTATGAAGAATAAACAAAAAAGAAACATATAAAAAGTTTTATTAGGGTTGTGGGACTCCACCATTAAAAATCAATTCTGGTTTTAGAGAAGTTAGCATGGTAATAACCTATCTTTAAGAAGTCGCTATTATGCTAACTTCTCTAAAACCAGAATTGATTTAGATTACTTTTAATGGTGAAGTCCTACAACCCTAATAAAACTTTTTATGTTTCTTTTTTGTTTATTCTTCATAGTTTTATTTTTTCTAAAAAGTACTTTAAACTGTATAAATAATATGAAATTATATTGAATTTATTAGCCAATCAGACGAACTTCTGTTCTATGATACTGTATAGTTCCGAAATTAAGCACCACCCCTCTACTCCAATTTTTTGAATCTCAGGTTAGCGGGAGTTATTTGGCCAAAGAACTTCCGCTAATCTGAGATTCAGATTCAAAAATTGGGGTGCTTAATTTCGGAACTATACGGTAATAATAACAATAATATTTAACGTTTAATATAAGTTTCGAAAAAACTTAAAATTTTTGTATTGTACAGATAGGAATAATTTACTCTAAAATACAAAAAATAAATTATTTTCTTGTTAACATTTCGCGTCTTTTTTTAGTACGTAGCTGCTGTCGTCAAAAATGACTTTTTTTGCTTTTGGCCAATTTTCTTTTTATTCAAGCTGCTTGAAGTGAAATTTGTGTCCTATAACAAATTTAATAAGCATTTGTATGTAATAGAGATAGTGAAGTAATTTTTTCCTACAGTATTAGTAAGTTATATTGCGAGCTTTTCTATAATTGCATATAAGGTTTTCTAACGTAGTTTTTGCGAATTTTCCATTGCATTTCAATATTACCACAGTATTATATGTAAATAAGATATTATTCACGCTTAATAAAGGTCGCAGTTTTCAGCTTGGATCATTTTATTCGAATATAATTAATTTGAGTTTTCAGTAGTTTTTTATCATATAATGAAAAGATTTTTTAATGAATATTAATTTGCTATTTTTAATATCTATTACGTAATGTGCAAACCAGTGTAATCGTTAAAATGATAAATCCTTGGAATTTTTTGGAAATAAATATATTTGATATAAATACAACGTACTAAAATTCGTCATTTCTCAAACTTCTCGAACATGATAATCTTTAATAATCTCCACTGCAACAATAAAAACTTATTTTCATGCGCTCTCGTAAATTGTCTATGATGTAAAATTATTATACCAATGTTGTGGAGTGTAAATCCTGAAGAAAGAACTTTGTTGCAAACTTTATTGACCATACAAAATTATAACGATCCCAAGTCAGTCAACACCATTTCACCGAGAATTTGTATATTGGTGTTTGGCTATGGCTTAACCCCGATTGAGCATCTCTGGAGCGAAATTAGACATTTAAAAGGAGAATATATACTAATATTTTGGTGCGAACCCGGACCTAAATTTAAGAACAATAGACTTTTAAAAACTATTAGTCGAAAATTTAACCCCAAAAAACACGTGTTTTTTGGATTCATATAATATTAAAATCAAAATCCGCTATTTGAATATATGTACAACATATGTCAAATCTGTTACCGAAGATTTGTACATCGGTATTTTGTGGTTATGTTGCATTTATTACAAATCCAAAAACTACGACGACGAAGGTGAATTTAAAATAATTATCCTCGAAGATTAACGATTTTGATCCAAATACATTAGGAGATTCGAACACTTTAAATTTATACCCAGTTCAAATGGGGTAAAAAGAGTAGAAATGTTAATAGCGGCTTTCAAGGGTAAATTCTTTTGATATAATAATTACCAACTACATAAATTATCGGAAAAAGGTTATGAGCGTACAATTAGCAGAAATACTGAATGATTTACATAAACAAATGAGCTGTTTTAATATGTAACACCTAACGCTAATAATCAAAATTAATAAAATGATTCTTTGTACGTATTTAATTTCAAAATAAAATTTATTGTACTCGGGTAGATATTTTTATAATAATAAATTACCGGATAACCAAAACATGTGTAATAATAAAATTTTATCTTAATATATGCATTAAATAATGTGACTATTTGAATTTGTATTTAATATTTTTCTGCTTCAACCATATATTATCGATTTTAATTTGGGTAGTGGAAATAATCTCACGATTATATATACTGTACAATACACAATACACTATACTGTTATTCGTTGTTTTACGAGGAAGAATTACCCATGATTATACACATGAACACTATATGCTACCTTTCATTTCTATTAGGTTGTTGGTGCCAGTGTAGTTATTAGCACAGTTGCAAGTAAAAAAGTTTTTTTTACTTACATTAATATTGCTTTTCTAGTTTTTACCGTTACAAAATTTATAAATTTTGTAAAGTTTACTTGCACATTGCATAAATTTTTTGCACATGTTCATTTTGTGCAAACTAATTTTAAACACTGTTTATTGGAAATGTTTAAATTGATTGGTTAATTGGACATGTTTTAAATTGACATAAATCCGACATCAAGGCTAAGGCTAAATTGGATATGTATAACTGGACGTAAATCCAAAATAATCTGACATATGTCATCAAGGCTAGACTTGAGGCTAAGGCTAATTGGACTTAAAGTTAAGGCTAATTAGGGCTAATTAAAAACATTGAGCTTGAGGCTAATAACAACGCTAGGTATAATCATTACTTCTTATCGGTAACTTATTATGATTTACATCACTGATCTCTAGTAATCTCGTTGAACTGGAACTGAACTATCCTTCAAAAGTAAACCCAAATACATGTATTTAATTATCGCTGTTTGCAAAATGATGTATCTTTGATCAAATTTGTAGATCGTCGCACGCCTATACAATCACTTGAACAACTACTTGATCGTTGCCCGGTTGCGCAATTTTACAATGATTTTGACATAAATAGTATATTTTATTATATGGGATAACTTTTTTTTGATCTACTACCGCTGTATTAACTATTAACCGAGGCTTAACCGTTTATAATTTTTTTAACCTATTTCCCGAAGCCATTTTCCCGAAAGCACATAAGTAAGTCAGCTAACTTTGTGTTATGCTCCTTTGGAAAATGGCTTTCGAAAACTTGATTTACACTAGCTTTGGATAGTAAATAGGGTTTTGGCAAAGCTTTTTTTTCAGCTAAATTGAACATCGAAAAAAGCTTCGCAAAAAAAAAAAGATATCGGTAACGGGATATTGGGCTATCGATAAATTGACTTCTCAATAAAGAAGCTTTCGGTAAAATATCTTGTTACAGCTGTTTTCATAAATTATGGAACAACTGAAAAAATACTGATGACCGAATCGATTAGTTTCTGGACTTGGCCGAAGTCGGTTACTTATTGATTCCGACTCGGTAACTTATCATCGGCAATTTTTTCGGTGATCCAGAACAGCTGTAAATAAATGGGCTGTCAACAGGGACCTGTGGATTTTGTGATATAATTTAACAAATTATGTTTTCGATATCAGCAAATTATTTGATTTAATGCTGAGAAGTCCGAATTTGTATAAAATTTAAGAATCTATCTAATAAAAAACTTAAGATTTTTTTTGGTTTTTATGCGCAAATATATAGCCTATGATATTTTTATTTCTTTGAACTATTGAAATATAAAATATTTTATTATATTTGCTAATAATTTCATCGTGTATGCTTGAAAAGTGCATTTTCTATAATCGAAGCAAATCGTAGTAAACCACATAATTTTTGTGATTTGCTTCGATCACAGCAAATCACAAAATCCACAGGTCCCTGGCTGTCAATAATACATCCTGTCGGAAAAAAGGATTCTCAAGATAATGACATCGGGAAAATAAAAAACTAAGAAATAATATGAGTGCCGCCAAGAGAAAACCTGCAAATCTTATTAGATAAGATTTGCAGGTTTTCTCTTGGCGGCACTCATATCATATAATTGACTACACTGCAATATTAGCAAATTACATGCTAAAATAACAAAATATTGAACTACAACACTTCTGCTTTGTTCGATCCATACTACTTTATTAAACTAACATACTGTACAGTACATGCAATAAAAATTTATAATAAATAATCTTATTTACTCCTCCATCTCTTGTATATGTTGTATGTGGAAACGGGATTCAAGTTTCTTAGTTAAAAAGGGTTAGGGTATAAGTTTATATATGAGTGCTGCCAAGGGAAAGGCCGTTCAGACTTTCAATTATATTTTGTGTACAGTTAGCTGTCTATGGAAAATTTATAGACGGTTAACTGTATACAAAATATCCGAACGGCCTTTTTCCCTTGGCAGCACTCATATTATAATAACAGCTAATTAATACCAAGCAAATTTAATCTTGATCCTAGATTAATAATCTTAGACGTAACATTATGCTTTAATAATCTTAAACGTAATGCTATGTTTTAATAATCTTAAACGTAATGCTATGTTTTAATCTCTCATAAAGTTTGCAAGCTTATGTTTCATTTCTTCATGTTACTAATTTATTAGTACGTGTCTGTCTATAGAATAATAAATAAATTATAAATAAAATAGATTAGTTATGTAAGCCTTTTGAAATTACTGTTATTTTTAACAAGTTTAATATACTGTAAGTTATATTGACTATATAAATTGAAATGTCTAAACATAGCTCTCATCTAACTACTGAATTATTTAAGGATGTAAAATTATCATAATTTGGTGTGATTACGTAATTTTGTGTAAGCTTCTAAAACCAAAATTTCATTATACCTGAAATACGTATAAGATTATAATTCCGAACGTAGCGAAAAAACTTTCATAATAATCATGTGCCAATCCATTATATCATATGTAACAATTTTGTAAGCATATGGGCGAAAATTTTTAATATAATGTTGTGATTATTAAAATTCGAATCATTAAAATCAAAAATTCCGCTCATATGTGGATTGTTTTTGGTTACTTTACTCATGAACAGCGTATAAAAACTGATAAATAACTATATAATAAGTAATTCATAAGCAATTCATAAGCAATTCATAAATCATTGACTTTTCACATTATATCATATATACTATTGGCTCAAATTCTATGCAATCTTATCATATCAATTTATCTAATCACAAAAATTGAGTTCCGCCCATATGGTTACAGTGTAACGTAAATGTAATTTATGTAATTTTTAACTCTAGGTATATTAAGTTAAAGCTTGAACTTTTCACCGAATGTAAATGAATGATCTTCAAAATCAACCAATCACAATAAAGCTGCTATATTTCGCGCTTCTACAGTAGATAAAATTTTCCGGGTTTTTCTTAGCTCTGAAGTCTTATAATGGCACATACTGGCTCTTAAAAAAAAGAATATTTTTTTGAGACCTATTAAATGTAAAACATCTAAATTTAACAGCCTCAAACATTGGATCAAATATGCCCATAAATATAGTTTTACATATTTGTTCTCTTAAGTTCATATAAAGTTGGTTTCTATAAGCTGCATTAAGAAAATCTGAATGTAAAGAGAAAAAATAAACAATAACACGATAAACTATATCCAAATTATTACTATTTTGCTTTGTGCATCAGCGAACCAAGTATAGGATTCTGGGCATTTTGATGCCAAGCAAAATGAAAAAAAAAATTACATATATATATACGTTGTGTATCAAATTAAAACTATTATAATTCCGAACATAAGCATCCCACCCAACCCTTATCCTATTAACCTCCACACTTTAATTTTGATCTGACGCAAATTTTAGTCGGATTCACGACATATTTATATAAATTTTTTTTTTTCCATTAAATAATAAATATGTATTCTTTACGCAATAAAATATTAAAAAAAATTTCCTGTCGTTCATTTATAATATTTATAGGTGCTTTAAAAATTATCATCATCACTATTTTTTTTATAAGATATAACAACGATTATAGTATTAATTACAAGATTAATGGGGTCACAAATATAAGTTTAATGAGTAAGGTTGATTACGTCGCAAATGTAAGTTTAAATTTAATTTGAGGGAACTAGTAATATAAGAGAATCACACCAGTGACATTATTGCCTAATGAATAGCGAATTAATTTTCTAAATACTTGGATTTTTATATTAAAAATCTAATGGAAGGTTATTTTTCTGACGTACTAATCAACTTTACTTTTATGACTACTATGTTATTAAACGCTACTGGTGTTATTTAAGTATAATCGATTTTTTTATTAACATATATAATGTACTAACATCTATAAAAAATCTATAAAAATTTATTTTCAGTCCAACCCAAAAAATAAGAATAAATTTAGTCGTTTAACTGAGCATCTAAAAAAAAAGCAAAAGCCCAGTAATGAAGCGATAGAATTTTTTCAAAAAAAACCAATTCCCTTCAAAACTAAAATGGAATGTAAAAGTTATCATGAAAAAACTGGAATTCGTTTAGAAAAATTATGGGATTGGCCTTCAGTTCGCGTCTTTATCGGTATTTGGTCAATAGCAAAAAATAATGCGAATCGAGATTTAATACGAACTTTATATTTAAGGCAAAAAAAAGGGTTAATTGATGACAAAGTAGACTTCAAATTTTTCCTTGGTAAATCGAGTGACGAAGACATAACCAAATTGATTGCAGAAAATATTACTTATGGTGATATTATTATATTGGATGTAAAAGGTAAAAAATTTTAAATTATGAAAAAAATGTAATTGGTCAATACTAAAAAAAATTTAGTACAAAATATTGAAATATTATATTCGTATTTTAAAGAGAACATGAATAGTGGCAAGGCGTATTATTACTGGAAATGGATTGGCTCGAACCTTGACACCACGGAATATGATTACGCTGCAAAGGCCGATGATGATTCATTTGTACATTTTCAAAATCTGGCACTTAATCTTCGACCGCTACCACGTGATGATTTATATTACGGATACATGATACGAAAAAGACATGTAACCTTTGCTCGAGGCATGCTCCAAGTACTTTCAATTAATTATGCTTACCTATTTATATCAATTCCATTCGACAGAAAAGAATGGCATGGAGCCGAAGATTACAAGTTGGCGGTATGGTTGAATAAATACACGAATTCAACTTTGAATCGATTCAACGAGGACTGCTTAATGGTTCATGATCCACGAGTACCAATAACTAGTTCTATGTGGAGACACTGGGCATCTCCACATACAATTGTCATACATTGGTTAAAAGACCCTGTTGCATGGGAAAGTGTCACGGATTTTTACTTTGTTTAATGATTATTCTTATAACTATGTATTATACTCATTATTCGACGCGTATTATATGGCTGATATAACTATATTAGGTTTCGTTCTTTTTTCAAATATTTTTATGATCTTAATAAAACCTATGACTATTATGGTTATAAGTATACGATTACATTAAATAAGTAATATAGGTTTAAAATAGTATAAGCTTTTAGCAAACCTGAAGTCAGATTTTGCTTTAATAAATAATAATATTATGATTAAGTAATGCGAATTAAAATTTTTTAAAAAAATCATTCTTGTGCTCTCCCTATTTTTAGTTTATGCTCATTTTACATTTTTACATAAAATTGTATGCTTTAATCAAATAAATTTATATAAAAAAATTTATATTAATGGTTAAAAATAAGCGTACTAAAATTAAATTTCTATACTCTGTTTTTTAAGCCAAAAAACTATTCAAAAGAATTTTGCTAACTACAACCGGTGGTGACCATCACCGCAATCACGTAATAATACAATTACATTAAAATAAATATAGACAAAACCAGCTCTATCCAATTTTATAACAATATATAATAAAAACGAACATAAGCTAAACTACACTGTCAAGTCATTATATAGTTGCCATACGGTGCGAGCGAAGCGAGCACCTAGACAGTTGTCTCGCGGAGCGTATTTCTAAAGCAGCTACGTGCACACAACTTGTACTCTCGGACGAGTTATCTATCGTATTGTCACGGGTTCCGTGACACGGGGTTTAGAGAGGCGTAGTAGATTGTTTATTTATTATCATCTAGTATTTATTTATT